ATTACCTTTAACGTGTTCTGATGCAGACAGTGCAGTGGTTGTGGTAAAATACCCGCATCTCCGTAGAACACGATTCCTGCTGCTGTCTCACTGGTTTTCCTTCTCCAGACGTCCTGCTCCCGTGAGCATGTTAGGGGATCATCTCAAGTGCCTCACACATTTCAGTGACAAGGTCACACGGACCCTTCCTAAGGGCGTGGCTAGCAGAGATGACCACGCTGTGCCTTGGTGGCTTTCTCCTGGATGGTGGCCACAAGATGCCTGAAGCAGCAGCTGGCAGGCAGTGGTGGCTCAAGGGCATCACCATTAATGTCTTTGCTACTTCCCTGGGTTTTGGCTCATGTCACCAATGGCCCCACGGCTACCAGCTTCCCCAGGAGGCCATGAGGACAGTGGTGTCACGGCACCATGGTCACCAGGAGATGGGGTGTCAGGTCCTGGTCCTGTGGCCTCAGTCTCCTGAGACCCATCCCCACGGCTCTCAGGAGTGGCACTGGGGTTCTCTGAGTGGAATGCCCACTTGTAGATCCCCGCTGACCCCACACCAGCCCTCTGTGGCCCCTCAGGCAGAGCTGGTGACCCACTCCCAGCCCAGCCTGGAGTTCTGGCTCCTGGACATCTGCCACGTGTGTTCTACTCCAGTGCAGGGGGGACACGAGGCTCTGGGGCCAAGCCTGGTAGTGGGAGGTGGGAGGTGGGGTGTGGGGTCTCGGGTCTCTGGGCCCAGCCTCAGGTGCCTCGGCTCTCATGCCTGATGCAGACCCTGGAGTGAGGGCTTCTCTACCTGGTCCCACCTCCTTGGGACTAACTGGTCCTGGCATCCAGGCCTACCTGGGGGGTGGGCTGGCAAAAGTTACAGCATCTCTCCTCTCTCTCTGCCCTCTTTCCCGAGATCTGAGCTGTCTCAGCAAAAGCCAGGTGCCCAGCTTTATCTTTATTCTCAGTTTAACTGACACTCCAAAGTGGGCACAGTCATCCTTAGACTTCAGGTTTCCGCAACAACACCCCCAACCTGGGGTGGGCGGCATGAGCTGCAGGGAATGGAACGGGCAGGAGGGACGCGGCTCGGTCCC